AAAAAAAAAAAAAAAGAAAAAAAGAAAAAAAAAGATAATGCAGGCAAAATTAGGCACGTAATTACAACTGAACAGCCTTGCCATTTTCAAGTAATGCCTTTTGTGTCATCTCTTGAACCTCATGATTTTCACCAGGTTTACTCAAATGTAACTGATCATACAAACTATTCTGTTGGGCTAATTACAGACAGTCAAAAAGCCAGAGGCTAAAGCAATTCAGTCTTCACATGTTAGTCTAAGCTGATAACCAACTGAACAGACATTCATTTTGATTCCAGAAATGCAGCTCTATGCCTGCTGTGGCTTGGACCTAAAGTTGTGGGGGACACTAGAGAACACCTCTCTTCTTTACTGGAGCAGACAGTTTGGGCCAAAGCTAGCCTGCCCACCCTTTGAGGGTGTGGCTTGAAGGGAAGGTGCAAAGCATCCTAGGATGCTGGGGGACTGTGAGTTAACTGGAATCTGGAAGGGATCTGGGACAGAAGTTCAACAAACGGGTTTAACCTAAATCAATTAAATTTAATACTACATCCATCCAGGTTTATCTTAAACTGGTTTCCGCTATTCTGAAAGTGATTTATGTGTACTGAAGTTCTGTTGTGTTACAGATCTGAACTGGTTTCCAATCACTTATACAGGTTTATGTGTAACTTCTGCCCTTAGCCTTGATGATACCCATAAGGAAGTAAAATTCTGTTCTCTGTCTTTGTAAATTGTATGAGGTTTGCAGGAATAACAGGAATACAATGTATTTTAAAATGTACTTCTGTTAGTATAGTCAACATATATGACTCCCATCCCACCCAAGGAACAGTTTTGAGCAAGAAAATTATATATAGATATTTACTGTAGACAGTCCCCTGTTGCAGTACCTGTCTGTAAACATCTGAACCTGTTCTTTCTTCCTAGGAAATTTTGCTTGCTGAAAAATGGGCCAAAATGAACAAGCTTCCTTTTCCAAAAATAGATCCAAATGTGTTTGATCGAGAGGGCTTGAAGGAGTGCTATGTTTTTAAACCCAAGAACAGTTCTTCAGAGAAAGATTGTCCAACCATCATCCACTTTGTTCTGGCAAACATCAACTTCCGCAAATACAAAGTTCCAGGTAAACTGATAATACCTGGCGATAAAGCCAGTGTCCCAGGAAATCCATTGATATATTTATTTTTATATATGTTTGGAAATCACTTCACAATGGCCATTAATTTCCAAAGCTCCATAGGGAAAGAAGCTGATGTTTTCCTTTACTTCTTAGAATTGATCAAATACTGTTTCAGCATTTTTTTCCGTTTTTTGTTATCCTTGTAGGTGTTTTAAGAGAAACTGAAGAAGAGAAGGATTTTGCTGACTTCGATATTTTTGATGATCCTGATACTCCATTCTCAACTTTCAACTTCCAATATTCCAATGAAGCCTTCAAAAGACTTCATGATCTAATGGAATTCAACACTCTGAATAACTTAGATGTATGTATAGTATAAAAATGTCTGACTTACACCATTTCAAAGATGATTTCTGGCATCCAGTAAGTGACCAGGAGATAGGTAGAAACCTCTAAATCCACCAATTAAAAGTCTTTTAGGAATTTCCCCCATGTGTGCAGGGATATATACAATCGCACACAGGGAGTGAGCTCTATTAATTTACCTTCTCTTTTCTGTATACCTCAGTGATGGGCATATGCTAGAGAAAGAGAGAGAGGGATGAATTATACAGTGGGAATCAGAGAGATTCTTTTGGCTTCTGATTTTTAAAGTACGGGCAGTCCTCAACTTACAATGTTTCGAGTTTCAGTGTTTCACACTTGCAACCTTTATAAAATTGACACCCTATTTCAACTTTGAGTCAGTTTCAACTTTACAGTGCTTGATACGAAGTGACGTGATGCCAGCGAACAAGTTTGCTGCGTCACCCATCTCCCTGGAGAACATCTGTCCAAACTTCCTTGGACACTTTCTTTAAGAAAGCAGACAAGACTCCAGAAACCTGCAGCCAAGACTCCTGAGAACACTCCAGCCAAGAACCCTTCAAAAAGTCCAGCAAAGTCACCTCAAAGAAGTCCTTCCAAATCAATATGATTGCTATTTATAATATAAATACATGAATGTAGCTAAAGGGGTGTAGGTTGTAGCCATGTTGATCTAAGGACATAGGCAGACAAGGTTCTTTGGCTGAATCTTGTGTCTTTTATTAGACTAACTTCAGTAGTTGAAAAATGATTATTAAGCAAGCTTTCGGGTTCAAAAACCCTTCGTCAGGCTGAGGAAGTTTCAGCAGTTGGTGTGTGCTTTTCCTGGATGGAATGAAAAGTAAAGAAGCCAGAGGCTGGTCTGGTATGGATACAAGACAGGTAGTCAGTAAAAATGTAGATTGAGGAGTCAGTGGGTGAGAGACAGGCTGGGAGGGGTGGGGAGAGAGGACAGATACCTGAGGAGTCAGATGTCAGGTAGGTTATAATGTGTCATAAATCCAATGTCTATGTTTAGTCCATGATTTTTAGTATCCAGTGGGGGTTGATGAAGTGGAGTTCATAGGCTTGTCTTTGGGAAGTGTTATGTAAGGATCAGGACTGAGAGATTGGAATGACTTTCTTGTGAGAAATGTGCCCCCACAGGTAATTGGGTATTCCTGTCTGATAGATTTCCGGTGTGCGTTCATTCTGGTGCGCTGTTGTTGTTTGGTCTCTCCCACGTATTTTCCATCAGGACATTTGGTGCATTGGATCTCTCTTCTTCCCCCCCTCCCTGCCTGTCTCTGTAAAAACTGTAAAATGTTAAGCTGTCTTAATCCATAATGACTGATCACTTTAAAATCTGAATACACTTCCAGTGTTTAATTTATTCCTTAGTATCATATATAGAACCAGCTCTCATTTAATATAATCAGATATAACTGCTTTGACATCAGTAGCTTTGTACCTGATTTGTCTCTCAAACTATGTGAGAATCAGATCTGATTTTTCTGTTCTAAATATTTTTTGCTAAAAACTTCCCATCTATATAATTAGTACATTATCAAACCATGCTATGTCTAGTGGCTGTGTTGTATTCTGGTTTAAATATACAAGAGCTAACACTTCTGTTGGGCAAGTCTGAAGTTGTCTGCTGTTCCATGCTGCATTATTTTCTTTAGAAGATGTACAACATTATTCCCAAACAAGAGTTGTCGGTGTAGCAGAATTCAGGAGGCAGGAGCACCAGTCTGCAAACTTCTGATTAAACATGTTTGCATGAGTAATTCATTATGTGTTTGCGCTAACTAAAATATATCATTTTTGTAAGATCCAAGCAATATTAAGGTGAAGCCAGTTAGACAACTTTAGCTTTCAGTCATTTATAGCTGTTGGAATTTTCCTGTCTCTTTTGGGAGGAGTGAATAATTTTATTTAAAAAGGTAATAAAAACGGAATTTTAAACTCTACAAACTCCTGAATATCATAGCATGGTCTCAGCTGTGCATGATGTTTAGTCCTCCACTCTCTTCACTTTTGTTGTTCTTTAGAAAGGCTGAAGACCCTCACAAAACAAAGATGAGAATGGAGGTGAAATAAATTAACAACAAACCTGGCCAAATAGTTCATTTTGATAAATGTGTCCTCACTATTTTCTCCACGCAATAGCTTGCTTCAGTTTAAGTGATTAGGATTACAGCTCCATAAGCTTTCTTGATGTCTGCCAAGGCTTTATGAAGATGTTGTTTAATCCTACAATGCTAAAATGCTGGTATTTTATTAGGACAAATATGTTAGTTAGGAAAACATCGTAATTCATAATTTCATACCATCATATATAGTCCTTATATTTTAGCTTCTACATTTTCACCTTTTCAAGATACCATTTTTACCACATATAGTTTATTAGAAGTTGCTGGGTTTTTTTATTGTAAGCATAGCCAGAATTCTTTTGTGGGTAGAATGGGGGAGGAGATGGAGGACAACAAAAAATTTAGGTGTCTTCCTCCCCCTCACTCTCATTTTTCTTCTTCATTATTTGAGCCTGGATTAACAGATTGCCTTCTTTTTGCCTATTCCAGTTTACAAAAATATCATATGCTGATGCCTGTACAGCTTTCATATGGAACAGTATATTTTTGTTAGCTTTTAGGCACTGTGACAATGACAGTAATAGAATTAAGTTTTCTGGATATAAACATCAAACAACTCAAATTTGGAAGACAGGTACAGGATGTCAAATATTTAGTACTTTATTTAATAAAACAAATTCTTTGTTGGCACCACTAAAAAAAGTGAAGGTGGTGGGTCACTTTAAAGGTGATGGGTAATTTGGAATGAAGGGATCATGACACAATAGACTTCCAGATGCTGGGACAGGGAAAGCTTGAGGTCAGCAAAATTAAAATGCTAGATTTCAAAAAGTTACATTTTGTCTGTCTCAAGGAGTTAATAGGCATGGTGCCATAGGAGGGAGGAGGGCTGTGAGCTTCTAGGGGCATACACTATTGGAAGCCTAACGAAATACTGTCCTGATATGATGAAAGCACAAGAAGAATGGGAAGAGACCAATGCGGCTGCACAAGGAGCTTCTAAAATGCTTCAAATACAAGAGAAGAATGGACAGGTCACCAAGGAAGTATACCAGGAAATATGCAGAACCTGCAGGGGCAAAATGAGGAAGGCCAAGATAAAGAATGAACTGCACCTGGCAAAGAAGATTAGAGACAAGTACATTAGCCAGAAAAGAAGGACCAAGGAACTCATGGTCCTCTGTTAAACCAGGGGATACTCCTAACCGAAGAAGCATAGAAAACAGAGCTACTCAAGAGCTACTCTGCCTCAGTCTTCACAAAAAAATTAAGCTGCTGCCAGGCACCTAATAAAGATCATTTGGATAAGGAAGAGGGGGCATGTTGCGGGAGGAGATAACGAAAAGATGGTCAGAGAGCTTTGGTTGGGTATGAATTGATTCAAGTCAGCAGGGCCAGATGAACTTCATCCCAGAGTCCTGAAGGAATTGGCAGAGGACATCCCAGAGCCCTTGCCAATGATCTTCATGAAGTTGTTGGAGATGGGCAAGGTACTAGAGGACTGGAAAAGGGCCAGTGTCTGAAGGAGGAAGGGCTGATTGCAAGCAGCCAGCATGGATTTGTGAAAAACAAATTGTGTCAAACCTGATCTCCTTTGACAAAGTTACTACATGGATGGTTGAAGAGAATGCTGTAGATATAGGGTATTTGGGTTTCAGCAAGGCTTTTGACAAGGTCCCACATAACCTTATCATAAAAAAATTGGAGAAATGTATGCTAGATAAAAGTACTACAAGGTGCATAGATAAATGGCTCAATAGCTGCAAGCAAAGGGTAATTATTGATAGGTCCGTATCAGAATGACAGGTGGTTTCAAGTAGAGTCCCACAGGGGCCTGTCCTGGGCTTGCTGCTTTTCAATGTGTTTATTAGCAATTTGAATGCTGGCATAGAAAACTTTGTGAGCAAGTTTGCAGATGACATGAAAATGGGAAGGACTGCAAACATGTTGGTGGATGTGAGCTCAATTCAGAAAGGTCTCAGTAGATTGGAAAGTTGGCTTAGAGCTGATAGGATGACATTCAATGTGGGACAAATACAAAGTGCTACAACTCAGGAGAAATAATCAAAAGCACAAATATAAAATGGTTGACACCTGGCTGGATAGCAGCCTATGGAAAAGGAGCTGGGAGTCTTGGGAGACCATAGAGTCAATATAAGTCTGCAATCTGATGCAGCTACTCAAAAGGCAAATGCTATTTTGGGATGCATCAATAGAAGCACTAGGTGCAAGATGTAGGAAGTGATCGTACCTTTCTACTCAGCGCTGGTTAGGCCTGGGTCAGGGTCAGGGTCAGGTTCAGGGTCAGGGTCAGACTGATAGCCATATTTGGGTTCAGGAACTAATTTTACCCCCTGGTTAGATTGGTATGGGGGTTTTTGTCTTCTTTTGTGGCAGAATTGTGGCTCTCTACTCAGGGTCTCTTGAGCATATATTGACAACATTTCATAGAAGCAGGACATTGGCTGTTGCGGTTCCCCTGCTTTATTTGGGGAAGGTTCCAGTGTTAGGTCTGTGTTGTGTCAGGTTTGACAGTAGTTTTGTGTAGAGTTTACATTATGGAATGTACAGGATGGTTTAGATAGAGATGATCATGCCTCAGGCTGGATGTTGGACTAGATGACCTCTGGAGGTCCCTTCTAGCCCTGCTTCTCTATGTTTCTGTGAAGTTATACAGTATCAGCATTGCACTGAAGGATGCTTTATGAAAACCTTCCTCAACTTTTTGTTTATACATTCCTATCAGAGAGAGGATAAAAATGACTTCAGCTTGAAATATTCAGCATGAATTATTATAGCCATGCTTACATTGTGCTCCCCACCCTACAAGTTCACAGCTTTATACATTTCAGAAAAAGGTATTCCTACTATAATCAGCATTCATTCAATCTATTGGTGAGATAAAACCCAAGAACAAGATTAGGAATGGAAATTGTTTGATCTTATATGGTTTTCCATCAATTGATGAACCCAGGTAAATACCAGGACTTCCACTTAATACTGTATTGTTTGACTTGTTTACAGGTGATAAAGCAAGCAATGGTGGAAAGCATTGAATACAGGAGACAGAATCCATCTCGCTGCTCTGTGTCCCTCAGTAACATTGAGGCGAGGAAATTCTTTAATAAGAACTCTCCAAGCAATGACCATACATAGAACTGCAGGTGTAAGTTCTTCAAGAAACTAGATTTGAACAAGTGCTAAAAAGGACTTCATCACTCAAGTGAAAATCCATTTGTGAAATGTTGTGTGTCAGCATAATTCATGCTTTTTTACATATATATTTACAAATTTGGCATAAAGGCTATTAGTTTACAAAATGTGGAATCATAACGTTTTTGTTGCCAAGTCATTTAGGTCAAAATGGTCCTAGTTACAACAAATCTATGAATATTTTCTTTCAAGAAATGTCTATTTTCCATTTTTAATTTGTTTAATTGGGACCATTTTCAAATATATAATAAAAGAACTGGAATGCTAAGTTTTGTATCAATTACAATAAAGTGTTAATGATGTTAGGTCGATCTACACTTACACTAAATACTAAGCCAAAATACCACTCTACTTTATGTCAATAGTAAAACTTCCGTTGACTTCAGTGTGAACAGTCAACAGTAATCAACATCAATTTGAAACCTCTCAGGAGTTTGTTCTTATCAGCACTATTAATGTTGATGTCTTTTGTTGATGAACCTTTAATGGAAAGGTTTTTGAGTAACTGATCACTAATAGTTGTTGGTCAGAGTGACCCCACCTTAAATCTAGTGTCATAAATCCATAATCAAATGTGCTGTTTCCTCAAAAAAAAAAAAATGCCGATCGCTAGCATGGAGAAATAATACAAATATGTTTGTGCATTTTTATCAAATGTATGGGTCAGATTCTCATCTGGTCATTCACTTTATTAATCCTCTCATAATTTATAGCAATTGAGGTTTTGTCAAAACTTTTTTTTCATTTTAATTTTAAATATTTTCACAAAAATTAAAGGTGGTGTTTCACTACTACCTTCTGATGCAGTCCATCTTCATTATAAGTGAATTAACATGTCAATCAACATGTTGGGAAGTTTCAGCTCTTGTGAAAACTTTATAAAGAGGCATAGATCTATTCAGAATTTAAAAGTTAACTGTATATGTTTGTATCTGCATAATGAAGAATTGTAAAAGGTTTTTAAATACAGTTGTGTTTGATTGTGGTCAGAAAAAGGATATTGAATTGCACAGCAAAAATGGTTTCTGTAGGGTAATAAGACTTGGGTAAGAATGAAACATGATTCACTTTTTAAGGCATATTTTTTCAACTAATTTTAACTATATGTATGTTTATGTGTTTGTGTGTGTATTTTTAATACTTTCTAGTGTGGTAGTCCTCAAAAATCCAAGTAGAGTGACACTATGGAAACACACAGGGTGACACAACCAGTGTTTCAAACACCTCAGAGTCTAATTTGGGGACAGTAGGGTGAATAAGTGTAATAAGCAATAAATGAAAGAAGTTGGACAAGGAAGGTGAAGATAAAGATAATAAACCATGGTGGTTACATAGGTTAGCTATGTGAATGACTTGATGGTTGTGAATTATATGAAA